AGATTGGGTCTTGACGACTAATGATTGTACTCTTTTCTTTAGCTAAGCTTTTTCCCTATTGGGTTTCCTTAGGTTTTTAATGAGAAAGCTAAAACAAGAATACACATACATCATGCACTCTTTTCCTCAATTAGGTTTTTCCCACGTGGCTTTCCTAATGGGGTTTTTAACGAGACATGAGTATGATATATGAATGTAAATGGGGAAAAGTTGCAAAATAATTGCTTAAGTAGACAAACTCCAAAATCCGGAAGATTATGCCGATTGTGCCGTGAAGGCTATTAGTTGTACTCTTTTTCCCTTAGCTAAGTTTTTTCCACAGGGTTTTCTTAAGTTAAGGTTTTTTAATGAGGCGACCAATACAATATATGTTTTTGCATATATCATGTACTCTTTTCTTCAACTAGGTTTTTTTCCCACGTGGTTTTTCTAGTGAAGTTTTTAATGAGGCATGAATATATTTTCTATTGTACTTTTTCTTGTCTAGGTTTTTCCCATAGGGTTTTCCTAGCAAGTTTTTATCGAAGCAAGATTGTGGACAAATAATGTCCAAGGGGGAGTGTTATAAACATATTTAGTGGACATCATTTGTAACGGATGCTTTGATTACTCATTATGTATATTTATATCCTTTATAATGGACACACCTTATATCATGGTGTGGAGATGAATGAAAAGATGATCCCGACCTTTTCCTCTCAACTCTCTGTCTTTTTCTGTTTAACAATTACTATCTATAAATCTAGGACAAAAAATGAAATTAACTCTAAATTTGTACTATAACAAGAGATATGATTGTATATTTTTCGAATACACATCACTTAAAAAATATCATTGGTTAAGATGATGAGGAATGTATTATCTGAATGAGTAGAGCCGTCAAAAATGGGTTTTACCCGCCGGGTCGACCCGTCCCGTACCGCCATAGGTAGGGGACGGGTTCTTCAAATTTTGATCCGCCAGGAGGCGGGCTTTTTAGCCCGTCCCGCCTGGGTCACGGGTCCAGGCAGGGCGGGCCAGGCGGGTCACGAGTTTAGCTCGCGACCTGCTAATACATATATATTTTGTATATATATTTAGTATTTAATACATATTATTTTTTGTGTTATTTTGGTTTGTGTAATTGTGTTAGTGTGTTATAACTTATAGGATTATAGATTTATAGGAATACAATAGTAGGTAGTGTTACTGTGTTAGTGTACTGTACGTCTATACAATGATTCTTTTTTTTTTTTGAAGGATATTGTACAGTGATTTAAAAAAAAAAAAAATTAACACAGTGAAAAAATTGATTGGCGGGCTAGCCCTTTGGTATGGCGGGGCGGGCCGATCATATTCCAAGCCCGCTAAGAGGCGGGCTTATTAGCCCGTCCCGCTGCGAGGACGGGCTTTGGTGTATTTTGGCCCGTCCCGCCCCGCGAGACCGTTTTGACGGCTCTATGAATGAGTAATCAACAGTGATACAAAGTGTATATATAAGTACATAGAAGAGTCCTACTAGAATACAAATAATATATTCCTAACACTCTCCCTCAAGCGCAAGGGTGTCAGGGACAACATTGAGCTTGCCCCGTAAGAAAGAGAAGCGCGTCCCAGCCAAAGCCTTCGTGAAAATGTCTGCTAACTGATCCTTCGTAGAGATGAAATTAACCTGTATCTCCTTCTTGGACCTCGCCGCGAATGAAGTGATAGTCAATCTCCACATGCTTCGTCCTCGCATGAAATACCGGATTAGCAGAAAAGTACGTAGCACCCAAGTTGTCACACCACAATTTAGGAGAAGGGGAAGGAGGCAGACCAAGCTCCTTCAAGAGAGACAATAGTCATGTGACCTCCGCAGAAACATTCGCCAAATCCTTGTACTCGGCCTCAGTTGAAGAACGAGCTACGGTGCACTATTTTCGACAGGTCTAAGAAACAAGATTGCTACCTAAGAACACAGCAAACTCACTCGTAGACTTACGATCCCTCGGATCTCCAGTCCAATCCGAATCAGAAAAGGCGTGAACCTCAAGAGACCAGGACTTGTTAATACGAAGACCATAATGAATAGTACATTTAACGTACCGCAAGACCCGCTTGAGCATACACCAGTGCGCCGTGGTTGGAGCATGCATATGTTGACACAGTTTATTAACAGCAAAAGTAAGGTCCGATCGAGTAACCGTGAGATACTGGAGCGCACCTGCAAGACTCCTGTATTGGTTCGGGTCCGCGTAGGGCATCTCAGACTCATCCTCCGTCTGAGCAACCGATACGGGCGTGACTAAAGCCTTGCAATCCACCATACCTGCACGCTTCAGAATGCCCTTCATGTAGCGCTGCTGAGACAGAACCATACATCACCATGAGGAACCGTCTCAATGCCAAGAAAAAAAGAAAGACATCCCATGTCCCGAACCTTAAATTCACGACCCATCTTGGCCACCAACTCAGTCACGCACGCAGGATCAGAACCCATCACTAAGATGTCGTCCACATAAACAAGCAAATAAAGCTGCACAACACCACTAGAATATATCAACAGAGAGACGTCAGTCTTAGACGGGCAAAAACCAACCGACACTAAGAAATCATGCAAACGAGTGAACCAGGCACGAGGAGCTTGCTTAAGGCCCTAAAGCGACCTCTGCAAAAAACACACATGGTTAGGGAAAGTCTTGTCCTCATAACCCGGTGGCTGACGCATGTACACCGTCTCGGACAGACCATTAAAGAAGGCATTGTGAATAACCAACTGCCGAATAAACCAGTCCCTCGAAACAGCTAGAGAAAGAAGTAACCGCACCGTGGTAGGCTTGCACAACCGGGCTAAAAGTCTCAAAGAAGTCCTGCCCTGCAACCTGGTTAAACCCCTTCGCAACTAACCGGGCTTTATGACGTTCCACAGAGCCGTCAACCTTCCGTTTAGTATGGAAGACCCATTTACAACCAACCACATTCATGCGGGGCTCGAACGGGACCAATCGCCAAGTGTTATTCTGCAACAGGGCATTGAACTCCAAGTCCATAACCGCTCTCCACTCAGGATACAAAACCGCCTGAGAATAGCAAGTGAGTTTCGGCACACCAACCTGAGAAACCAAAGCTGAAGGACATCGCGACATACTCCGCAACGTCATGGTGTGAGACCGAGGCAGACCACGCTGCCGAGAGCGACGAGTGCGCCCATGTTGCACCAGTAGTCCAGAAACAGTTCGCGAAGGACTAGCCAGCACAATGTCAGTCGGAGGCGCACGCACTACCAGAGAATCACGCACTGCCGCAGGACCATGGGCCATCGTGGTGGCCAGTTCAGTAGTCTACCGTGATGAATCAAGCGGCGCCACAGCAGAGCCCACTGCCACAGTCGCAACACCCCCCGGTTCCAGACGAACAACATCAGCCTGTACACTCAAACCAGAAGCAAAAGGAAAACGAACTCATTAAAGTGCACATGGCGACAGATGAATACCTTGTTAGTGGCTAGGTCTAAACAACGATATCCACGAAATGACTTGGGGTAACCTAAGAAAACGCAAGGAGTAAAACGATATTGCAATTTGTTACGGTTATATGGACGCAACAGAGGAAAGCACAGACACCCGAATACTCGTAAAAAGGAATAAGAGGGACGATAATTAAACACGCGAAAGTGAGGACTCTCATTGCCAAGAACACTCGTAGGCATCTTGTTTATTAAATAGACATCGGTCTCAAACGCATAGTCCCAGTAACGAGTGAGAACAGACGCTTGAGCCATTAAAGCTAAACCCGTCTCAATATGACGGTGCCTACGTTCTACCCGACCGTTTTATTCGTGTGTATAGGCGCAAAACTGCCTATGGGTAATGCCAAGAGACAAGATGGTAGAATGCAATTTTTTATATTCTCCCCCTAATTCAGATTGAATAGAAATTATCTTGCGAGAAAAGAAACACTCAACTTGCAAACGAAAACGATCAAAAATTGAGTATAAATCAGTTTTCGCACGCATCGAATAAAACCAACAGAACCTGCGTCACCGACCATGAGAGAGAGAAAAAAGAGTTTGATAGAACCTCTGAATGAATAATTAATAGTAATACAAAGTGTCCTCCCAAATGCTCTGTTGGGTCGGGGTGTAAGGAGCCCTTAAGATTAGGGTTCAACCTTTTAAAAGAATAGTGATACAAAGTGGGCCCTTAGGGTTAAAGTTCAACCTTTTGGAAAGAATAATGATACAAAGTGTAAATATAAGTATAATAGAAGAGTCCTACTAGAATACAAATAATACTCCGTATATTCCTAACAAAATAAATATTACGGAGTAAATTATTTTCTCTCGTTCCAAACTTAAAGGTAGGAAGTAACCTGAAAGCCATAGCTAGCAATATGCAATAATACACATAATTTGGCCTATTCTTTCAATTTTATCTTATAGCCTAATTTCATGCCATTACCCCATCCATAAAAAAAAATTACAGAGTGATACTATTATATATATATATATATATATATATATATATATATATATATATATATATATATATATGGGTCAGGTTCCTGTGAGGTCAGGTCTTCCCGTGCGGTCAGTGCGGCATACACCATTAGGTATGCATAAATGCACCACACAGTGTTCGTAAATACATCATTATGGGTGGTGTATTTTTTTGTGTGTGGTGTATTTTTTTGCATTTTATTTTGGTATATTTTCGATATATATATATATATATATATGAACATGTTTTTGATTGAAATAAGATGTTTCGCAATGGATTTTTTTCACGTATAATACGTAAAATACAAGTCCGTTTATGATATTTTGTATCACTAGCACAAGTTGAATTTTTGTTTGTGCTGTATATTTTCATACAGCAGAAACGTAAGTCCACTTGCTATAAAAAATTAATGGCGAGTCTGATCTATTTAAAAGAATACCGAAAAACAAAGAGAAAATAAGCAAAAAAAAAAATAATAATAATAATAATTATAAAATTAACCATATATTTATTTTTATTAAAACCAACCCTCATTGAAAATTAACGAGTTAATTGCGGAGTATATGTCAAAATTAAGTGGAGCTTCCTGCTAAATTGCTTACTCCCGCTCGAGCTCGTGGCTTCCTATCTATGTCGACATCTGAGAATCCATTGCAGCTTCTCTTCCAAACATTTGAGAAGATATCAAATAGCATCCAAACCCATCTCTCTCAATTCCTAAAGTTTCCGAACAACCCACACGCCGAGCCGCTCTTTGCTATCTCTGCAGCTTCAAAACCAAACCACTTGGCTCCAAGACCTGCCGTCTCTGCTCTTCTCCAGCCCACTGACCTTCCAAAGAAGGTAACTTTAGCACCTTAAATACATTTGACGACCACTTTGTTTCTTTCTTCTTGGTTTATAAGAATTGGCTAAACTTACAATTCATGCTCGTTAGCTATTCGATAAAAGTTCCAGTCAAGATTAGTAAAATGCAGTGTTGTGTTCTTTTATATTTATGTACATCGACAGGAATATCGGTGCAAAAAAGCTATTGCAATGAACGATGGAAACAAATTAAAGGATTTACTGCTATGATCATTTTGGATACTGTTTTAGGATTTCAGGAATACTGTTACTCACTGGAACTTTTTTCTTGGCCTCTCTTAGCTTTTACTTTTTATTGTTTTTTACATAAAAGAGTATGCTGCAATCAGTTGAAGGTTGCTATTCTTATTGTCATTCCATTGAATCCATTCAGGAAAAGTCTACTGGCCCAGTGACTAAAGAACAGCTTGGAAGGGCCACTTGGATTTTTCTTCACAGTCTTGCAGCTCAGGTCATTCCTTTTGTATGATGATTTTTTTCTTAATTGTCTTATTCAACGAATATGCTCTACTCTATATGCTCAGAGGTTTTGAGTAAGATGGAGGCTGGTTTTTTTCATTGACAATTATCAAAGGCATAAAATTACGGCTCATATATATCCTAATGGACATGTTAATAATTTTTTTTTTTTTGACATGTTAATAATTTGTTCCATTCAATGTTGTTAAGGTGAACTTTCAAGGCGAGATCGAGCTCGTTAGGCTTCCGGTCTCCACAGACCGGACGCCTAGGTGACGCCTTAACATAAATGGTTCCATTGTTGCATTTTAGATTTTCTGATGCTTTTAATTGTTCACCATTTGATTCTATATCTGAATTGTTGATTTCAGTACCCAGAGAAGCCAACAAGGCAACAAAAGAAGGATGTAAAAGAATTGGTACACTACTCTCTTTTCCTCTCAGTTCCTTTTCACTTCAGTTCATAATAAGAGGCTGGAAATAAAATCCAGTTCTTGTTCTTCTGATTTGAGAAGGAACACCGAATAGTTTCTATGGGGCTATGACTGTGTGAAGGTTGATGCCACTTGTACCACCACCCTCACCATTTCAATTTTTTTATTATTTGTTAAGTGTTGAAATACAAGAGCAGTTTGTATATATATTTGTGTGTTGCTGTACAAGGTAGAAGCCCTATTTATACATAGGCTGAAAGACTACCAGCCACATAATTCAAAAAGGAATGAAAGACTGAGCAATTCACTCTAACTACCCTTATTCTTCTAACATTATTCTCTATCTTGCTTTTCAAGTTTTTCAATTGTGAACTTTGTGTTTAATATCAGTTAGTTTCCTTTATGTTTCTTACAAGCACTAGAGATAAATTATACTCAGTATTTGAATTACATTGGAGTAAAATCTTGGAAGAAGTTAAAAATGTAACAGAGTTATTGTTATTGTGTCAATTAAATTCATATTTTACCCTTTCACATGGTTTTGCAGATGGGAATCTTATCTCGCATGTACCCTTGCAAGGACTGTGCTGATCATTTTAAAGAAGTTCTACGGTATCTACTCATTCACCCCTCTCCCCAGTCCCCACATTTTCAATGGATAAGAATTTACCTCCCTTTGGCTTTCTTTTTGATATTAAAACTCAAAAGTTGGAAAGTTAATTTCTAATAAAAATTGATTTTTTTTTTTTTTTTTTTTTTTTCTGTCATTACTCCTTGCAGAGCAAATCCTGTACAAGCTGGATCTCAAGCTGAGTTTTCCCAATGGTTGTGTCATGTGCACAATGTTGTTAATAGAAGGTATTTTGCTGTAAATCTTTGAACATTTTCATGCAATCACTCCAATCAGGCCTAATGTTGTAGGCATCCTATCCTATTGCTATCTAAATAAATGAACTGCCTTTCCTGATTGACAGAATGAAAGATACAAATGCTAAGTTATATTTACTGAGACGACGATGTATATTTCTCTCAGTTGAATTTAGCTAATTGGTTTAAACGTTATCTCACTCTCCATATTTCTATTAACTTATCTTCATTTTCCCGAATTTTTGTAAGCGAACACAAGGTCTAGAGAACTTATTTTAAAAATTTCTTGCCATGTATAGCATGTGAAATCCTGTACAAGGATATAACAAAATCCACTGTCAATGCTAATCCCGGAAATTTTCTTTCAACAGTTTGGGTAAACCCATTTTCCCTTGTGAACGGGTTGATGCACGGTGGGGTAAGCTCGATTGTGAGCAGCATAACTGTGACTTGCAAGGAAGTGACAAACTTTGGTAACGAGACATCTTCAAGTTTCCCTTAGGAATTGGTGGTGGCTGAATCTGTTGTGTATTGATGTTTTCAAAAGCCTAAGTAGTAGTTGCTGGGCTTGGCGGGTATATATTTATTTATAGGCTATATATATATATATATATATATATACCCTCCAACCCAGCACCACCACCACCAAACACCATAGACAGAACAACTGATGGATATCCAGCGGATAAATTACATTGTTACTAATGTGGCTACGACAACTGACAGATATCAGCATTCAGGACAACAATGGTATTGTGCTTTTATAATCATCTTATCAGCATTTGAGATCAGGTTCATTGAGGCTAGAGCTTGGTTTGTGTTAGTTGTTTTCTTTATAGTACCAGAGTTACTGTGACTCATTGAAAGATTTGTTGCTTGATTTTCTACACATTAAGATTTTTGTATGAAATTGTTGAAACTGAAGAATATACATAACTACTGCAAGTTGGTAGCTTTCTAGTATCTAACATCACATGTACTTTTAGCAGAAAAGGTTGCACAAATTGCAGGAGGAGCTCATACAGACGTAATTTGTCGGGGGATTGACAGAGAAATGAGATACTCTTGGATATTGTGGATAAAAATGGACAACTTTTTAAACTTGGACAAACCTGAGAAAAATTCCTTTGCCAAATGCATTTGATGCGTTTACCAAGGAACCGTTTGAAAACCTAGAAATGTTTTTTGAAAAATAATTTTCTGAAAATACTCAATTTTTAAAAAATAATTTAATTTTCTAGTGTTTTGAAGGTCAAAAATTTATATATATTTTTTGTTTGGCTGAAAGTTAAGAAATTGTATTTTTTCTATTTGGTCCATTTTTTAAAAAATGAACACACACACACACACACACACACACACACACACACACACACACACACATATATATATATATATATATATATATATATATATATATATATATATATTAGTTTTTTACGTGCATTGCGCGATTGGGATAATGCCCAATTTTTTTTATAAAATAAGTACTTTAAAGTAAATCAAGGCAAGATTATATTGGAATTGTTCAGATAATTGAATTTTAAATTTGCGTATTTAAATAGGCAATTCGAAGTTTACAAATGCAAGATAATATAGTCAAGATTGATTATAATTGTCAATAAAATAATTGTATAGGTATGATTGAAACCAAATAAGGGGCATAAGGGAGAGCAAATAAAAATTAGGGCATAAAATATTAAATATATACTAATATTGAAGGGCTAACTGTTGATTGCCAAACAAGGTAATTGCGAGATAGTTTCTCACTTCAATTTGTTGTGTGCTTTGAATACACTTTTTGTCAATAAATCCCCCAATTCGTTAATATGATTGGCTTAATTATATATTTTTTATTTTTTTTAAAACAATTATTATTATTATTATTATTATTATTATTATTATTATTATTATTATTATTATTATTATTATTATTATTATTATTATTATTATTATTATTATTATTATTATTATTATTATGTATACCGTTAGGTCATTTTACATGTTAATCTAAACAGCTAATTTTTTCAAATATCTTTTTACCAACTGTTGATATAATTCGCTGGTCAAATTAGCTAATATAATCCGCTAATGCTAACTGCTAAATGCTGATCGTCAAACAAGGACATTGCGAGGTAGTTCTCACTTCAATTTGTTGTGTGATTTGAATACTCTCTTTGTCAACAAATATCTCAAAGTAGTTAATATGATTGGACTTATTAATTATATATATATATTTAATTTTTTCATGGTATTAATAAAATACTTGGTAAATAAATATATAGCATTACTTTATATTATAACTTTGATATTTAATTAAAAATAGTGCACAAAAAAGATAATAGACAATGTAGTGAATATAATCAATTGATGAATTTGAATGTAAAGAATGTTTACATTGGAGAAATATAAAGACAATATAACTAATAAAATTATTTCTCTTAATTAATTTATCGATAATGAATAATTTTTTTTAATAAAGACATTGTAGGGACAATGTAGCGAATATAATCGATGAATTTAAATGTAAAGAATTTTTATATTAGAGAAAAATATATAAATACAATATAACTAATGAAATTATTTCTCTTATTTAATTTATTAATAACGAATAATTTTTTTTTGAATAAAGACATTGTAGACACATAATTCTAAATTACAGAAATGGATATGTATTATTTTTTGGTGTAGCTACTAAATTATTATTATTATTTAATTTAATAAGATTAAAATAGAGTACTAATTATGCCAACTTTGATTGGGATGTGGTTCGAACCTAAGAACTTTCTTATTGAAATCAATGAGTAAGTTAACGGTGAACTAACATAAATTAACGGAAAAGATAATATTTAACGGAAAAGTTAACGGATAATCATATTCATTAAGGATAAATTAGGAAATCTTAAGGAAAAATTAAAATCTGATCAATCTGAGCCATTCATTTGATTAAAAAATTTGACCGCCATTTTTTCTACCAATTATAGGCCTAACTCTCTTGGGCTCTTATTAGTATAGTATAGTATATATATATATATATATATATATATATATATATATATAGTGCGGTCGCGCCTTAACGTGCGGTCAGTGCGGCCACACCAATAGTTATACAAATATGCACCAACAGTATTAATGCACAACAAAAAAATGCATCATTAGGTATGCATCACAAAAAAACGCATCATTAGGTATGCATTAGAGCACCTCACAGTTTTCGGAAATGAACAATTAGGTGTGAGGAGGTATGATGAATTTTTTGGGTGTGTTGTGCGTTTTGTAGTGTATTTGTGCATTTCATTGTTGTGTATTTTCCTAACATTATTGGTGTATTTTTTAAGCGGTCGCAACGTACGTACGTTAAGGCGCGCGCGCACACACACACACACACACACACACACACACACACACACATATATATATATATATATATATATATATATATATATATATATATATATATATATCCATTTTGGAGGGACACAGAATCTGAGAGAGTCACAGAGTCTCATACATGAGTCTCAGTAATCAGAAAGTGGTCTGAGAGTAATCTGATTTGAGAAAGATCTGAGAAGAGTCAAGTCTAAGAGATGAAAGGTTAATTTCATTGTTGATATTTTCTTGTGTTATTTTTATTAAACACTTGGGAATATAGCTTTAAATAAAGTTCTTAGTTACACAACTTAAGGGAAATTCTTGGTAGAGCAACTCGAGATTTTCGTATATCTTCTTGTATCTCATAGGTCTTAATCCGGTATCTCAATTGCTTGTAAAAGGAGATTAAAAACTTGTAGAGAAGTGAGTATACACCTGAAAATGTTAAATGGTCTAATTTTTTGTTCACTTATTTTCTTCTGTACTTTTTGTTGTATCTCAAAATATTACAAAATACAAACATTTATTCTAAAACAAGGTTGGACAAGATTACAAGAAGGATAGTCACAACTGGAGAAAAGACAAGCATCAGTGATAACTTCTATGAATCTATGAGGCCTTACACTGATACTATCTACATGTATCATAATTGATAATTTCTATAAGTACAACTAAGTAACTTAACTTCACTTTTTGTCTTCATCCTCCTCCTCATTATAAATAAACCGCTTCATTTTGATTATTAATCACTGAACACTTCATCTTCCAACATATATATATTTCATTCTCTCCCTTTCTTAAGCTAACACCATGATAAGTTTCAAGAAACTCATCAACATGGCTATGAAGTGGCAGAAGTTTGTAGGTATCCAAAGGAAGAGGATTTCTCTTCCAAGACACAATGGCAAAGCTGATAGAAAAGGCCATTTTGTTATGTACACAGCTGATCAAAAGCGGTTTGTTGTTCCCCTGTCTTATCTTGACTGCAAAATCATTAGGCAACTCCTTGAAATGTCTAAAGAGGAGTTTGGACCTCCGAGCGATGGGCCTATTATATTACCATGTGATGCAGTCTTCTTGGACTACATCATTTCTGTTAGGATCAAAGGCCACGGCCCCAAAAATTCTCCCGACAATCTGGCTCTAATACCACTTGTTAGATCAAACGCTTACCACTACACAAAAAGCTATAGCTCGTAGCGAAGACGTAGCCTTATTTTCTTATACCGCCACATTTTTTAGAGGCAAGGTGCTGAACTTGGCCCTTCAAGCCTCTGCCTAGCAATCCCCTAACCACCTAGTGTTAGAGTTGGCCCTTCACTGGCCTCCACCCAACAATTTCACTACTCAGCTGCGGTGTTGGCAGACAACTCAAGAATGATTTGCTAGTTTCGATTACTTCATATCAGAGTTCGTCAGTTTCACAGCATCAGAAAGGGTAGAGGAGAAATCAAGAATAGCTAGTTTGCTGGCATCACTGTTTAGTATACTTGGAATTCAGCTTTAACTAACTCAATTAATAGCTTTCAAAGTTTATGATCTGTAAAAGCTTCTGTATAACCACTGAAATTTACATTTCCCAATCTGAAAATTAATATACAAAGAGAACTTTTCTATGAAAAATCTATGCATTTTTTTTTTCTCACTAAACTAAGCTGTCTGTAGTCTCTCAAGATCTGTTCAAACTAGAAATGATGTCAACGAAGGTATCCTCCAAACAAGGTATTGTGAGTCCACCCATCGGATGATCAAATCCGAATTCTTCCTCAGCTTGACACAACAAGTCTTGGAATGAAGGGTCCTTCAAGTACGAAACAGGAATTACAAAGCGCTTCTTTTCAGTCTCCCCAACATAAACTGCAAAATGCCCTTTAGGAACTTCACTTTCTCTGTTTGTTCTTGAAGAAGATCTTCGAAGGCCTTGCTTAGCACGGAAAATATGCCCCATACCAATTGCCATGTTCAAATGCTTTTTTGGGAAGGTATAGGAAGTGCTAGTTAAGCAAGATATAGAAACAATTTGTGAGTGTAGAAACTATGGTTTTTGTGATGCAATTGATTGAGTGTGGTGGTGAATACCGAGTACCAACTCAAATGTGTTTATATAGATCCTATGGGAGCTGAGGTGGATCAAGTGGCTAAGAGAAATTTGGATGGGAGGGCAGCCAGCTAGCAAGATAAGAGACATTACCACACTGTTTTGTCTTCCAATAATCATCAACAATTCTTACTAAAGTTGTGTGAATGGACATCATTCCCCACATGCTTCAATCAAACTTGAATAGATGGGATAGCTTAACTACTTCTATCTTTCCAAGAAAGCCTTTCAAATGAGAGATGAGGAAAGAGTGCAGAAAGATCATGTTACTTGCCTACAAAATAGCTTAATCAATTTGTTTGAATTGGGAAACAAAACCATGTGATTCCTCATTTCTCTGTCTCTATATATTTATGGCAACACTAATAGGCCCCATACAACTGGGTGGAACATGATTTTGCCTTCTTTGATTTACTCTACTCATATCCTCTTTAGTACTTTAAATAGATCACTTGTGTATGAATTTGATGATCAAACCCTCCAATTTCTTCCACCCAATATCTAAGCTTTCTACTCATATTGTTCTCTTCCATTATATTTCTCTCGAATTCCTAGTTTAATATCATGATCAGTAACAAGAAGCTCATCAAGTTGGTGAAAAGATGGCAGAAATTTGTTGCCATCAGGAGAAAGAGGATTTCACTTCCAAGACTAAATGATGATGCAGATAGCTGTAGTACTTCCTCTGCAGTTAGCAAGGGTCATTTTGCTATCTTATCTCGAGAATGAGATTATTAGGCAACTCTTGAACTTGTCTGAAGAAGAATTTGGACTTCCAAGCAATGGGCCTATTACACTACCATGTGATGCAGTCTTCATGAACTACATCATTTCACTTCTTAGCCGAGGCTTATCCAAAGAACTCGAGAATGCATTGCTTATCTCAGTTACTTCATTCCGGTGTTCATCAGCTTCACTGCACCATGAAGGGTGGAGAAATCAGGAATTGCTAGTTTGCTGACAGATAGTATTGATTAGTTCTAGTATAGTCAAAATTTGAAATGTAACTCACCTCATAGCTTCCAAATTTCAAGAAATTTGTTTTTAAATCAGATTTCCTACCTCCCCTCCCCTCTATACAATTTTATTTTCACATAACTGACTTTGATGATGAAAACGTAGTAATATTTCGTACTGCTTCACTAAGGCCTGTCTATATACATAACTCCATAAGTGATCAGTAGTTCTAAGCTAAGAATGAAATGATCTGAAATCAATAATCTTTCGTCCTTAAACTAGAGTTTGGTCTAATGTATGTACTTTGAATATTTAGTACAAGTAAAATAGTAAATATGGTTTTCCCTATTACTTATGAAACTGGAGTTTTCTAGTTATCCCAAGAATGAAATGAGTTGGCATGTGTTCTGATACAAAAGTGGTATTGTTCATTCTTAAATGTCCAATGGACCTTAAAGAAGTTGTCATTTTTAATGATAATTAATTTTCATTGCAAAAAGCACTTCAAGAATAGTTAGCATTGGAATCCACCAGATGTAAATTACAATAATGTTAATGTTAACGTTAACGTTGTCCGATCCCTCCTCTTGTTTGCACTTGCTTCAATTGCTTATGTACATAAAAGGGACAAAACATCAATTATTTCTTGAAAACATAATATTAGTGTAACTACCCAAGTCTCGAGATATATAGACATTTAGTGCACAATAGGCCTTCATATAACCAGTGAAATTTACAGTTTCCAAGCTGATAATAGGAATGTAGGATTTGTATCAAAATTTGACTGACTTACTGAAATTTTCAGCAGATAAAAATCTATACAAATGAACTGTACATGAATTCTCTTCTATGCAAAATTTTGTTTCACTAAACTAAGTTTTGTGTAGTCTCTCAAGATCTCAAATTAGAGATGATGTGGAGAAAGGTATCCTCCAAGCAAGGTATTGTGAGTCCACCCATTGGATGATCAAATCCGAATTCGTCCTCAGCTTGGCACAACAAGTCTTGGAAAGAAGGGTCCTTCAAGTAGGAAACTGGAATGACAAAACGCTTCTTCTCGCTCTCACCAACATAAACTGCAAAATGCCCCTTAGGAACCTCAGTTTCTCTGTTTGTTCTTGAAGAAGACCTTCTGAGGCCCTGCTTAGCACGGAGAATGCGAGGCATACTAATCGCCATTCTATTCTGGGATGTTTCTTCTTAAATTAAAGCAGAGGCAGTGTAAATCAAAGATGCTATATATAGATCAGAAACAATTTTAGAATGCAGAAGCTATGGTAGTTGTGAAGGAAATATTTGAGTGTTTATATAGATCATTTGGGAGGTGGTTTGAGTGACTAAGAGATATTTGGATGGAAGGGCAGCCAGCTAGCATGCATGATAAGACAACATCAAATCATCACATGGTTCTGTAGGTCATTCAGAAATCATCAAGAATTTCTAATAGATAGGATGGCTTAACTACTGTTATTCCAAGAAAGAGAGCTTACCAAATGAGAGATAAGGTTATAGAGCAGCCAGCTAGCAAGATAAGAGACATCACCACACTGTCTTGTCATCCAAAACTCATCAAGAAATTATACAAAAAAACATTGTAGATAAAGACCTGTCTTTGAACATCATTCCCCACATACAACTAGGTAGCACATGGTTTTGTCTTCCTTGATCTCCACAAGATCTTAATCCCTGTCTTAGCCTCCTCTGCACTTTAAATAGATCACTTCCATATTCATTTTGATCATCAAACACTGCAATTCATTGTCCACCAAAGATTTAAGCTTTCTACACATCTTATTCTCTTCCATTCAATCTCTCTATATTTTCTAAGTTAATACCATGATCAGTTCCAAGAAGCTCATCAAGCTTGTAAGAAGATGGCAGAAATTTACCGCTATCCGAAGAAAGAGGATTTCATTCCCGAGAGAGAATGATGACGCAGACAGCTGTAGTACTTCCTCTGCAGGTAACAAGGGTCATTTTGCTATCTACACAGCTGATCAGAAGCGGTTTGTTGTCCCTCTATCTTATCTCCAGAATGAGATTATTAGGCAACTCTTAAGTATGTCTGAAGAAGAATTTGGAGTTCCAAGCGATGGGCCTATTACAATACCATGTGATGCAGTCTTCATGGACTACATCATTTCACTTCTTACCCGAGGTTTATCCAGAGAACTCGAGAATGCATTGCTCGTCTCTGTTGCATCATATCAGTGTTCATCCGCTTCACTGCACCAGGAAGGCTTGAGAACTCGGGAATTGCTAGTTTGCTGACAATATTGATTATTTTTTGTATAGTTCATAATTCAAATGTAAATCGAACCATAGATTTCAAATTTCAAGAAATTTTATACCATATTGCCTACCTCCCCTACCTGTACTGAAATTGTACTCTTATAACTGACTTTGATGATCAAAACTCAGTGATTCTTCTTCACTAAGGCCTGTCTATATATATATAATCTGAACAGTAGTTCTGAGCATTAATTGATCTGAAAAGGTTTGTCTAATATATGTACTTGAATTATGTATTTACATGTAACCACTATAGTACTCTTTTCTTTATTTTACTTTCCCAATAGTTGCAGTATGGTTTCATGAGGCCAAAAGATGTTCCTGAAAATAATAATTCTCCCGGTTGTTATGCATTCCAGCTATATCTATGAGTCTATGACAAATGATCATATTTTTACGAAAGAACATGGCTTTCACTACCTAGTTAATGTATTGAATATACTCTTAAAATTCATTCTGTGAACCAAACATGGTGTTATAAATTGCATGTTTGAGCCCGCATGGGTAGCTCAACTGGTCATAGAGGTGAAACTTTGGAAGAATGACCAGGGATCGAGTCTCACCATAGAGGTGAAACTTTGGAAGAATGACCAGGGATCGAGTCTCACCAGCGGCAGTGTGGGGGCAACCTCTCAAAGTGAGGGGGAGCGCACCGGTCTAGCCTCTATGGTTCATGTTCAGTTGAGTCACCATGATTTACATCCTCCCAAATGCTCTGTCGGGCCGGGGTGTGGGGGGCCCTTAGGGTTGGGGTTCAGCCTTTTGGAAGAATAAATTGCATGTTTGATTGTTTGGTCATGATATTTTTTTTTTTTTTTTTAAATTTACAAATACTCTTATAAATTTGTTTAATTTTTATATCTTTTATAAATTTGTTTAATTTTTATATATTTTATTTCATTCTATACTATTACCATAGCCTTCAATTATCACATTTTGTCGTCTAAAATGTTGTGAAGTCAAATTAAAATTGCCATTCCTTGTTCAATTCACTTGTAGCTCCTTTCAGATAATTTTTCATTCAACTCACTTAAAGTCTTGTGAGATAACAATTAGAATTGTAACATAAGATTACTTTGAGTAGTGAAAGTAAGGGAGGTGTATTCAATCATAACTTTCATAGAGTTTTAAAGACTTTTATGAACTTTAAAAGTTTGGAGGTATTCAATTCAAATTTTTATAGAGTCTTTAAAAGTCAGGCGGTATTCAATCACGATTTTTAAAGAGTCTTTAAAAGTCATGTGGTATTCGATTAAGACTTTTAGAGAGTCTTTAAAAGTCACGTAGTATTCAAAAGTTATGAACTTTTGTAGACTTTTTAATTTTAGGACTTTTGTAGACTTTTCCTTCTCAAATATAAATAGTTGAAATCCAACCACCAACACCAAGATTTCAAAATTTTCTTTCTAACAACTTTGAATGTTTTCTCTCTCTATTTAATCTCTATTTTTTTCTCCCTATTTAAACTTTATAAACCTATCAAAATTTAATAAAATTATTTTTTCTTCATTATCCTATATTTTCCTCATACCTAAACTCTACCAATTTTTCTCTCTCCTAAAATTTACAATCTTCCTCCAAAAATTTGAAATAATATTATTTTTACTAATGTTTATATTGATTTTTATTTTTTTCTATGAATTTGTTATCCCTAACTTTCTCTAATTCTCCCTAAATACATGAACAAAGCAAATTTTTCATCGTCAAATTTTAGTATATATTTCATAATATTCATATAAATATATACTTATATATTTTGATTTTTATATATTCTTTTTATGTTTATATTCGTAATATATATTTTTCCTTTTTTTTTTTTTTTTTTTTTTTTTTTTTTTTTTTTTTTTTTTTTTTTTACAACAGGTTACTACGAATAGCGAAATACTATTCGCAACAACAATTTGGAGTTGCAAACAATAACACCTTGTTGTTGTTCGCAGTCTCAAATTGCTATTGCAAATAATAGTTATTTGTGTGATGTCTAGCAATATATCAAGTATATATATATATATATATATATATATATATATATATATATATATATATATATATATATATTATTAATATTAGATTTTTATTTTTTTATTTTATGAAACTTGTAATTATATTTTTAAATATTTTATTTGATCAATTCTTTTATTATAAATTTTATTGTTCAATATTGTTATGAATTTCTAATAAATAGTTTTTTTTGTTGATGTTTATTAATAATATATATAAGTCTCAGCATACTATGGATAAAAATAATAATGTTGAGAATGTTGATGTGGGCGAAGAACTATATAATAAGAAGAATTTTATGATATATTATAAATGTTTTGTAAGAAAATTATATAAATGATAAGAATCAAAATCATTGAAAGTTTGTAAGGATGTATTAAATTTAGAATTTCAATGACTTTGGTAGACTTTTTAAAATAAGAAGTTGATAAAAGTCTATGAATGTTTTTTATATAGACTTTTATAGAGTCTTATAAAGTTTTAAAAAGTTTTGAACGACTCTATGAAAGTCAATCAAAGTTTATTAAAATCTATCATTTTAAAAGTCTTTAAAACTCTACAAAAGTCATGATTGAATACACCCCCCTAAATTTAAAAGGGAGAAGTGTCAAATAGGCCCATGTACTATTGTCAAGTGCTCAATTCCCACCATGAACTAAATTAAAGGCTAATTAACCACACTTACCTACTAAATTTGTTCAATTAGCTTTTTTTTTTGTAGGTCATTGACTTTTTTTGCAGGTTACCAATTCAATTATTAAAAAAATAGTTTAAAAATTATTAAAAAAAAAAAATACAGCCACCGGCTGTCCTCGCCGGACAGCCGGTGACTGCCATTTCAAAGACAGCCGTGGCTGTCCGGCGAGGACAGCCGGAGTCCTCGCCGGACAGCCACGGCTGTCTAATATGAGGTCCAGATCTGGACCTCATGTTTGAGGTCCAGATCTGGACCTCAAACGGCCTGGAACGAGGGCGCCGGCCATGGCCGCCGCCCCCGTTCCAGGCCATGGACGGCCATGGCCGTCCCCAAACAGCCATGGCCGTCAAAAAAAAAAAATTCGAATTAGCAGATCAAACCAAACTGCACCATTTATAGCGTGTGATATGGAACCTTACCTTGACTGGCATCTCTTTGCCATATTGTCTGGGCCCACAATTACTGCCATCTCTGTGGTTTTTGATAATGTGGAGCAAGAAGATGTTTTGAAGACCTGTGTTGATGGCTTCTTGGCCATTGCTAGGATTTCAGCAACCTATAATTTTGATGAAGTGTTGGATGATTTGGTTGTATCACTATGCAAATTTACCAACTTGTTGCTTCCATCCTACTTTGAAGACTTTATTCTTACATACGGAGATGACAGTAAGGCGAGAATGGCAACTACAGCAGTCTTCACCATAGCAAATAAGTATGGTGACCATATTCACTTGGGTTGGAAATATATTTTGGATTGCATTTTAAGCTTGCATGTTTGGTTTGATCTTCTAATTCGAATTTTTTTTTTTAGACGGCCGTGGCTGTCTGGGGACGGCCATGGCCTGGAATGGGGGCGGCGGCGATGGCCGGTGACTGTATTTTTATTTTTATTTTTAAATTTTATTTTATTTATTTATTTTAATAGTTAAAAATAGGTAACTTGTTATTAACCTGTAAAAAAAAAGTTAATTGAACAAATTTAACTCGTAGATGGAGCTATTTGACACTTAATTTAGTTCGTGGTAGAAATTGAACACTTCGCAGTAGTAGATGGACCTATTTGACACTTGTGCCAATTTAAAATGATAATGACTATATTGATAATTAATAAGAAAATGAAAATTTGAGTCCAATAGTGAATTTATTCAATCAATTATACACAATTAAACATCATCACATTTGTTTCCCGGATCGGAATTGTCAACATTGTTGCAAGATTAGTATACGAGATAACACAAATATTAATTTTTGTTGTGTTGGTCTCATATAAGGATTAGGAATATGAGTTTGTCTGAATAGGAGTGAAAGGGAGATTAGATGCCTATAAATATATTGAATGTATCTCATCACCTGGATCACCATCACAAATAATAAGAGAATACTTTTACTCCCGTGGATGTAGGCACATTGCCGAACCACGTAAATCTTGTCTTCTTTATCTTTTATGCCATTATTATTTTTCTTGTTCTTGTTAATCTCAACAAATTGGTATCAGAGCACTGTTGAGATGACAAGTTCAAGTACAAAATTCGAGGTATCAAAATTTGATGGTACAGGGAAGTTTGGGTTATGGCAGTCTAGGGTAAAGGATTTGTTGAGTTATCTTTTCTCCTAGAGAGCATATTCGCCAAGGTGGAGATTTGTTGTGTTTGTCTCATATAAGGATTAGTAATATGAGTTTGTCTCATATAAGGAATAGGAGTGAAAGGGAGATTAGATGCCTATAAATATATTGAATGTATCTCATCACCTGGATCACCATCACAAATAATAAGAGAATACTTTCACTCCCGTGGATGTAGGCACATTGCCGAACCATGTAAATCTTGTCTTCTTTACTTTAAGCCATTATTATTTTTCTTGTTCTTATTAATCTCAACAATTTTGAATAAATTAAATGCTCATATATCATATTTTTTCTCTCCCTCTTTAGGGTTTCTCTACTTTTCTCCCTGCTAGGGATTCTCTACGTTCCTACCGCCAATCACCGTTGTCCATGTTGCGTCTACTTCGCTGATCAGTGCATAACGTCGACGTCCATCCACATGGAAGCTACAACACCGCAGCAACGTGAAGAAGGGGTGGAGATACTGTCCGAGCGTTGGGCTGATATGGTGCTCGAAGATGAAGAAGAAGGGGTTGAGGCCGATGATGCTTTCTAGCTGCCGACGGGGGAGGGCACGCCGGTCTACTCCGTCGTTGGTCGTTTCTTAACGGCGAAGATGATAAAAGTTGAATATATGCGGCAAGTTCTGGCTTCGGTATGGCAACCTGTGATGGGGATGCGAGTTACGGAGTTGCATAATAATTTGTTTCTCTTTGTTTTCTATCACGAGACTGATATGATACGAGTTTTGGAGGAGGGGCCGTGGTCTTTTTAAAATCATACGCTAGTATGTAGGCAAGTTTGTGATGGTTATCTCCCGAGGGAACTCAAGCTTGATATCGTTGATATGTGGATAGAGGTTTATGATCTGCCTATGGGTTACACATCTAATGTGGTCCTAGAACAGGTTGGTAATTTCGTGGGAACGTTTATTCGATGTGACGACCGCCATATTGGACGGCCATGGAAGACGTTCTACCGGGTACCTGTCTTGGTACCGGTG